TTACCAAATGCACAGTGAAATGCACATCAGAATGTAATGTACGTGTACATCCATGCACACCTTATGCAAAATGGCACAACATGTGCAATTCCTTTCCCACAACTTTGAACTTTTTTTCATGCCAGAAGCAACTTGAGAAACTGCAAGTTGCTTCTGGTGTGAAGCAATTGGCCGTCTGCAAGGACATTTCCCAGGAGAACTCCAGATGTTTTGATGTTTTACCATCCTTGTGGAAGGCTTCTTTCATGTTTCCGCATGGGGAGCTACAGCTGACAGGGGGAGCTCATCCACAATCTCCCCAGATTCGAACCTGCAACCTGTTGGTCTTCAGTCCTGCCGGCACAAGGGTTTAACCCATTGCGTGACAGAAGGCTCCAACTTTGAACTGAATGAATACCTATGTTCCATGTTGGACAAAAAGTACCAAACTATTTCTGTAAAACAGTGCTGCTCAAAATGGCAGTCCATGGACCAATGCCAGTTTGTGAACCATCAGCTGTTAGTCCACAGCAAGTTTCTAGGAAACAATGCTCAAACAATAATAATATGGCACAAATGTAGTATCAGTTTCTGACATGCTGTGCCAATCATTTATCTTGAGAAGAACTGTAGGAAAACTATACATGCATAAGACCCCAAGAAGATACACTTTCCTTGAAATTGATCTTGTTTAGAGCCAAGTGAGAACTGAAAACAGAAAATCAAGACAGGCAGCCCACACAAATTAGCAAAACCTATCATATTGCTACTTCCTATTCAACAAAAGGGGGCTTATGAATGAGAAAGGATAGAGTTAGAAATAGTATCCAGTTCACTAATGAAAGCCATAACCACAGACATATTGAAATATTCTTTCAAACATTGCCTCATGTTTTGATGATCTCTGAAAACTATCTTGTGGTCTTCGTTTGTAGTAGGGAGACTAAAAAATTGGTGGAAATATTTAGTTTATTTTTGATTTGAAGCAGCATATCTTCAACAAATGTAATTCAAGCAACAACCACACATAATAAGATTTACATTAAAAAGAACATGAACTCTCATCTATACTGCTGTTTTACTTGTGGTTAGACATACTGCTGCCCAATCTCTTATGTTAAGATCTTAGAGTTATCTCCCTGCCTTTCTGTTCTCCATAGGCACTTCTCCAGGGGAGCAGGGTGGAGGTAATTGTGGGTACTGGAAGGATATTGTCAAAATGAGTCAGGGAAATTCCATCTCTAGTCATTGAATTATGCCAGAATCTTTTAAACTTCCTCCTTTGTCAGAGCGTTACAGCATTTTTTTGTTAGCACTCTCCTACATTTTTTCCAGTACTACAGTATTTGGCTCCAATACAGTATCCACAAGTCTACAGAGATTTTGCTATGGTGGCACATATAAAAGTGCACAAATGTAAGAAGTTTATCTTCTGTCCCTTTTCTGGTGATCATCAAGGTGAAGTTGATTTTTTCATTCTTGCTTTCAACTGCGTGAATGCTTTTATCAACTCCGAGATCCCATTACTGATAGGTAAATAAAATAAATTGTGATGGGAAATGGGAATGGAGTCCCCAAAATCAGATAAATGCACCTTTTAGGAACAGACACATTCATTCCTCATTAGGGAGATCCTGGAGCTCACCCACTGAGTTGACTAGGTCAATGGAAGCAAGAGTATTGTGCTTCTCATTACACAAGAATATAACTTGTCTCAGTTCTCAAGTTCCACAATGACTGGAGAACTAATTCCTCAGAATATGCCTATTATTATGTGCAAATCCTATCCCTTCCTCCATCATTCCCAGACATCTGGAAATCAGTTTCATCTTTGCATGCCTAGAAAGTGGGTACCAAAGTTCCACATGTGGGAACCCAATTTTGCCAGGATTCTTGCTCACAGTAACTTTATAATCATGTTCAAACAAAAGTGAGTAGGAATAACTCACATCTAGAAAATCAGGGATGGACTGTAGTTATATGCCACCCATATACCTGTCTCTAGTTTTAACTATACATATGTCCTTTCACACTACAGAATTGTAGTACCAGGATCCCAACATGGTTCTTTTCTATTGAATCCTACAATTTCCAATTTATGGAGAGACTTTTAAATTTTTTAGAGATTTCTAGTATCCAGCAAACTACAAATGCCAGGCTTCCACGGGATTTAGCCATAACAATAACTGTAAAATAGAATCATACTGCTAAAAGGGACCGGATCCCATCTGATCTTGGAAGATAAGCATGGGCAGCTCTACACAGCTTTAACAGGAGACCATCAATGAACACAAAGTGCTGTTGATTGTATTTCAGAGGAAAGAAATGGCAAAATGCTATAGAATCTTGGGAGCTGTAGTTTGGTGAGGCCTTGGTACTCTTTGATGGGAAGGATAAAGACCTCATAAAGCAACAGGTCCTATGATTCCACAGCATTGAGCTATGACAGTTAAAGTGGTTCTAGATCAGGGGTTCTTAACCGGTGAGTCCCAGATGTTTTGACCTTCAATTCCCAGAAATTCTAACAGTTGGTAAAGTGGCTGGGATTTATGGGAGTTGTCGGCCAAAACACCTGGGGATCCACAGGTTGAGAACTACTGTTCTAGGTTAGGGACCAAACAGTATAGAATCTTATAAAAATAAAACACTATAGAATTGAAAGGTTTGGGATGTCATTTAATCTCAAACTTTTGTTCAATGGGGGTTCTTAAGTGCAGGACACAACTGAAGCATTTGTACAAGTGGCTGTCCCGCCTTTGTTAAAATTGACTGCAGTGAAAGAGAGCCCAGTAACTCCTTGTGGAATTTAGGTACACAGGATGCATCTATGCTGTAAAATTAATGCAGTCTGATGCCGCTTTAACTAACATGGCTCAATGGTATGGAATCACGGGAGTTGTAATTTGTCATTCTTTGCCATAAAGTGCTTGTGCATCACCAAACAATTACATCCTGTGATTCTATAGCATTGGGCCATGGCAGTTAAAGTAATGTCAAAACTCATTAATTCTACAGTATAGATGCACCCACAGTTGAAGAACAGCTCATATCACTAGGAATGTTTTCTCATGTTTAACTGAAAATTACTGCCCTGAAATTTCCACCAAGTCGAATGTTGCTCTCTGGAGCAACAGAGAAAAAGTATTCAAAAGTCATGTGTCTCCTCTGAATCTTTTATTCTGCAGGCTAAACATATCCACGTCTTTCACTGGTCATGAGGCTATCCCTCACTGTCCTGATCATCTTTCTTTAAATATGCTCAGTGTTTTAAAATGTCAAGCTTGGAAGGAGACAAAGTGTCCCACCATGCTTTCCCACAGTATTACCACATCTATAGAATCAGCCATCATAAGCAAAGATTCATTGCTGCCAAGGGAGAGAAGGCCTGTCTAATCTTTTCATCTTTCTCTGTTCCTTAGTTTGGCTAAGAAATAAGTGATTTTATTTCTCTTTTCCATTTGTACTTTGCTCTTCTTCCATTGACCTTGAGGCAATGTAGACAGATCTATCAATTGCTTTATCCTCATAACAGCACTATGAGGTAGGTCAAGGTAAAATTGATTAACTGGCTTGATGCCATCCAGTGAGCAGATGGCTTGATGCCATCCAGTGTGTGTGTGTGAGGAGCAACTTGAGAAACTGCAAGTTATTTCTGATGTGATAGAACTGGCCGTCTGCAAGAACGTTGCCCAGGAGTTGCTCAGTTGTTTTGATGTTTTATGCTTGTGGGAGGCTTCTCTCATGTCCCCACATGGGGAGCTTGAGCTGACAGAGGGAGCTCATCCACACTCTCCCTGGATTTTAACCTCCAATCTAGTGGTCTTCAGTCCTGCTGGCACAAGGGTTTAACTCATTGCACCACCAGGGGCTCCCTAAACACCGTTACAATACCCTATCCACTGTATCGTATTACATACCAAACAAAACAAAATTGTGAAATCTCAAATCTTGCCGGAAGTGACAGGGTTTATCTATATTTCCTCTTTCCCACCAACACATTCACTCACAAACTCCTACCTCCCTTTCACTTATTGATAAAGCCCTAAGCAGTAAACAATCACATCTTCCCCGCCACCCCACTTTTTTTGCACAGGAAATCCATGTTCAAATTACATTTTGTGTATGTCTGTAAATGACTTTTCCTTATAAGTCCAGTGCTTGAAAAGTACATACTAAGCTTCATATTCTTGCAGAATGAGGAGAAAATTGCTAATATTATTTGTTCTTCTATGTGAGATTGAAATAAAAGAAGTGCTAGATCTTGAATTCTCTGAATTATAGCACTAGAGCTGTCTACCAGAGAATACTCCATTCCACAATATACTACAAATCTCAGGGATAATAAATCCTTTTTAAATACAGTTGAACAGCTGAACCTTTTATGCTGAGTCAGATCTGTGGGCCATCTAGATTCACAATGTATTTCTTTAGCTGTTCCTGGAAGTGCTTTGATTTGTAAATCCGGGGCCAAATTAAAACAAAACAAAACATACCCAAAAAGCTCAGAGGGACACATAGAAAACTCTGGGGTTGTATTGAAGTCATAAATACAAGACTTTGGTCGTTAAAATTTAGAATGATTCGAAAAATGCCAAAGAGGCCAAATTTTAATAAATCAACAATTCCAAAACCAAGTGCATCTGACTATTGGCAAATGATCAAAGACTGAAAGGTTAAGTTAATTTTTATTCAAACAGTAACAGCTGAATTTCACTCATTTGTGAACTCTGGTACCACAGGAGTGCAATTAAAATAGATATGCTAGCAATAAAACCAACATTGTTAGTATGTTTTCCTTCCTTTTTAGCGGCTTTCTGCCCAGAACAACATTTTCCAGTGAACTGTAAGTGGCAAAATGCAATGTGAATTTACTGTTGTGACTAAGTTTTGTGCCTAAACCACTAATATTTCCTCTTCTTCAATTGGAAACAGTGCCTCAGCGAGGCAGGAGGAATTTGAGAATTTCCAGTCTTGCAGACTTATTTTTTTAACTATGCTTTATTTCCTTTTTTTCTTTCCAGACTCTAGGTTATGGGCAAGTCAGAAAGTCAGATGGATATAACTGAAATGAACTCTCCAAAACAAAAGAAAAAACAGCGATGGAGCGCTCTGGAAATAGGGCTAACTGTTGTAGTGATTCTCCTTGCAATTGTGGCTATTACCATGATTGTTCTGTATGCTACCTATGATGGTAAGTGGATGTTCATTAAACTATAAATTCCATGGCAAATATTCATTCAGAAACTCAAAGAGAGAGTTGGAAATGCTGGCACGAAAATATTATTGCGCTAAAAGGGAGCTGGTCACTATCACTTTGTAAAATATTTTGGAGCATTCTGAACTTGTTAGCCACAACTATTGTGGAAATTTTAGCTACTAAACTGGAAAGCAATCCACATTTTCTTTGGAAGGACATGCTTTTAATTAGCTTGTCTTGCCAGTTATAATAACTGTATGTGTTGGACCTTCTGACTGTCAGATGTTTGAGACTGGCTTCTTTAAGATACGCTATTACAAAGCTACATATAATAAGGATGTCAAAAGCAACAAATAATTTTACTTCCCTGTGTTTTTATTATCTTTTGGGAACAGTTTACTGGAGGTTTACACAAAATATTTTGCAATACATGAATTCATTTCAATAAGTTCAGGCTACTTATAGATGAAAACAATGACTAGTTTCAAAGACCCATTGAAGCAGTGTTGACTTACCAAGTTCTTATTCATTCATTGAGTCGAGTCAAGTAAGAACTAGCAATCGGACTTAGGCCTCAACCAACAACTCCACTATATCGCCTCAAGAATGGGTTGGTGGTCCTGTAGCCATCCAGATGTTACTGGACCACATTTCCCAGCAGTCTTCACTACTGGCTAGGAAGACTTGCTGCCCAACATCATGTGGGGGCCACAGAATTAACACAAGCAGTTCACCAAAATATACCTTCTGGATCTTGCTTTCTTCTTGCCCATCTCCCCAGAGTTCACTCATTGACTGGACTCATTTGCTCAAAAATTTTCTAATTTTTTACACATACACATAGCTTGTCCCTCCTTTTGAACAGAGAAGGGAAACACTGATATTTTCCAACCATTTTTACAACACTTTGGGCCATTTCTCTGAAATTTCCAGGCAATATCTCCAGGCAACTTTTATTCTTGGTGTTGTATATCTTCAAGTTTTTTGCAACTTATTGTGACCCCAGTTACTATAAATCATGAGATGTTCTTGCCAAGATATATTCAGAGAGCTTTATCATTGCCTTCTTCTGAGACTAAGACAGTATCAAGCCTGTAGACAGAGGGTGTTACAGGTTAAACACCCTTCGTGCCAAATTTTTCCTGTCCTCAGTCACCTGTTTGCTTCCCCCTGCCCACAAACACACGCACTTGCTTATTTGCCCCCCAGGCTCATTTCACACACACCCCAGTAGGTTTCAGCAGTCAAGCAGGAGCTGAAAACCAGATCTCGAGAACTGTACAATCAGCTCTCTATATTTGCAAGTTTGACATTTGCCAACTTGCTTCAACCATTTTCACTAGGAATGTCTACGTCCTCTTGTGTGATTCTGTGGTCAATTTCCTGCAGATGTTGACCATAAAGTCATAATGGAACACCTAGAGATTCCTAGAGAACATCTCTCTATAAATCACTAAGTTCGTCAATAAATTCTGTGATCAGCATCCAATGGAAGTTAACCATAGAATCATGCAGGGAGACCAATACATTTCTAGAGATGTGTTTTCAAAGTACTATATACCACACTGGATCTTCTCAGAAGATATTACTGCTGACTTTTTAGTAATATAGCACAAATTCTGGCGTCATTGACATTTTCTATACACATACTTAAGAACAGTTTATTTTTGCATACAACCATAAAAAATGCCAATCTTATATTCCCACAAAGTTACGAAATACATCATTCTGAGGTCATGAAGCTGGGCAAGAGAAGGAGGGATTCGCCATGCAGTGTGACTAATTCAATGGGTAGCAGGAGAAATCGTTGACCTAGACCTCGCACCACTCGCTGCACTGCTTTCCCCATCATATGGAAAAAGCGTTGCTGCCCGGTTCCCCCCCCCCCCCTTTTCTATCTAATGAAAATATTTGAAACATCCCATGTTCTCTGGGCAGGATCCTAGCACATTGCCAGGATGCTTCCTTTGTGGAGCCCAGCTGGAAATAACCTTACATCATATGATGGGATCCATTGGGCTCTGTTAAGGAAGTGTCCTGGAAGTGTTTTGGACACTTCCAGAAGTCAATGTGACGAAGGCGGTAAGATGAAATTGTTGAATTGTCCAAAATGCTTGGGATGAATTTTTTTAGATTTTGGAATATTTGCACATACATGATGAGATATCTTGGAGATGGGACCCATTTCTAAATACAAAATTAATTTATGTTTCATATAACCTTACACACAGAGCCTGAAGTTATTTTTATACAATATTTTAAATATATATATTTTTGCCTAAAAAAACATTTGTGTGCACTGAGCTATCAGAAAGAAAAGGTGTTACTATCTCGCCCACCAATGTGGATGGTTTGGGATTTAGGAGTATTTCAGATTTAGAAATGCAAATAAAAGATATTTGGCATGTACTATTTTTTAAAAAATAGTTAAAATAAGTCTAATGTTATGTCTTGTTATAAAACAGGGTAGAAGTTTCTCTTTTTGTGAAAGCTAGTTTAATGTACTTGCCCATTCAATAGGACACACAGAAGATAATTTCTCTTAATCACTCAATTTTTCTATTTCTCAAATATATTCTTCCTACCTTAGATCTCTTTTCTCACTAGATGTAACATTTTTGCTCTAAATGATGGAAATTGACAGGTTAAAATATCATTAGAATGTACACGATTAGTGAAACTGATAAAGTTTTACCTAATAATTTCCTCTTTCACCATTATACAAACATTTTCCTCTTTTGCAGTTTCTGTTTACTTTACCTTTAAAGACACAAGGCAATCTTATAATAGCTTGATAATTTTTTCAGGTTTTAATGTTCTTTCTTGAGTCCTCACAAACAGAAGTTTGATTTCTTCCTCCTCAAACAAAATAGTTTACCAATTCCCACAACTTGGCCATTTCTTGGGAGTATGAATCACTCTAACATGGTTACACAGTGGAGAGGAGAAATGTTTTGCTCTATATCATTAGAACAGTGTTCCAAAAAGAGATATTCACCCAAGGCATTTTCAATTCCCCTTTCTTTGTAAATTTGTTATACTAGTACATTATAGTTTGGAGTATTATTTCTTGCCATCCCAAAACACCCACCCACAAATTCCCAGCAGTTGCAAACTCTTGCCAAATCACATTTTCTCTACTTACCCTAAACTTCTTTGACCCACTTCAGTAGAAAAGATTTTGGAATAATCCTCCCTTTATGAATAAACAAATCTAAAGAATGAAGAAATAGTTCCACATACATGCACACATGGACTCCCAAGGGATATAATTTTTGAGTGTGGCTCCTTACCTGGGGAGGTACATGATGATACATATCAGGAGTGATTTCGGTTGCTAGACGCCACCCATCTCCAGTCACAAGTCTGTGAAAACCAAGAGCCTTTTCAAAATACAGAATTATAGCACTATGATTCCGCTCAATTGTCATAGTTCTGTCCTATAGAACCTTGGTAGCTGAGTGAGAGGCATTTAGAATTCTTACCAGAGAGCTCTAGTACCTCACCAATCTGCAATTCCCAGGAACAAATAGCATGCAGTTATGACAGTTAAAGTGAAAATCATTGTGCTATAAGGGCCCTGAGGAAAAATATCCAAGCATATCTCTCAATGGAAATTGACTAGAAAGAATTTATTTAATTTCCCTGGAATCAATTCCCCTATCAACTCAATTTACTTTCTAATCCAAAGTGCAAGTTTTTGTGTGGGATCCTCCTGCTAGTGCAGTCATTCCCGGAATTTGGACTTCAGCTCCCAGAAGTCATGACTGTTGGCTAATTTATTTTATTTATTTATTTAAAACATTTATATTCCACTCTTCTTACCCCGAAGGGGACCCAGGGGGTCTAGAAGCTCTAGAACAGGGGTCCTCAAGCTAAGGCCCAGGGACCGGATACGGCCCTCTAAGGTCATTTACCCGGTCCTCACTAAGGGTCAACATAAGTCTGAAATGACTTGAAAGCACACAACAACAACAGCAACAACAACAACAATCCTGTCCCATCAGCCAAAAGCAGGCCCACAATTCCCATTGAAATAATAATAAGTTTATATTTGTTAAAATTGTTCTTCATTTTAATAATTGCATTGTTTTAAAGTGTTTTTTGCATTACAAATAAGATATGTGCAGTGTGCATAGGAATTCATTCATTTTTTCCAAATTATAATCCAGCCCTCCAACAGTTTGAAGAACTGTGACCTGGCCCTCTGTTAAAAAACTCTGAGGACCCCTGCCATACAGCCCGAAAAACCTACAACAGCCCATTTGTCTCAATATTAAAACACACTAAGATAGTTAGGGATTATTGGGGTTGAAGTCCCAAAGTATAGGGATCACCCTGTTAGTGTAACACTACCATAATTAATTACTGTATATACTCATGTATAATTCTAGAAATTGTAATAGAAAAATTGTCCCCCAAAACCTGAGTTGACTTATCCATGGGTCATACCAAAATTGATAATTTTGGCCCCCAAACCTGCCCCTGACATGGGTATTTCTACAATCTTATGTAACAGAAGCAGTATCTCCATGTGCTTTTTTAAAAACAGGATTAGCTATTTTTGCTGGACAACACTAGGGAGCAGGTCTGTCCCTAGCACAAGTCTTTACTGACTACATTGATGTGCCAGGGGAATTCTCTTAGACCCCTTCTATACTGCCAAATGAAATCCAGATTATTATTTTGAACTGAATTATATGGCAGTGTAGACACATATAATCCAGTTCAAAAGAGATAATCTGAATTATCTGTTTTGATAATCTGAATTATCTGTTTTGATAATCTGGATCATAGTGCAGTGTAGATCCAGCCCTAGACCACTATTTCGCTGGTTGATTTAACCTTCCTACACCTTTAAATGTGTATGTTGGTTTATGTGCAGCTTAATTCGGGCATTGGTCTCTATCTTGTATGGTCAGAATTATTATGGCTGTGTGCTCACTTTCCCACTTGTTTGTATAACATATGGTCCCAAACTGAACCAAATAATTTTCCCAGTTTCTTTTTTATCTCCATACCACAAATATTTATTTTCCGGCTTCACAGCCTGCTTCTGGCATGTACCAATTCTAGGGAAATGTGCTAGAGATATAAAGATTATTAGTTAATTCCTCCCTCGAGGAATGTATGTCTCACCAACCACCATGATTTTTTTCAGGCCTATGCCAGAATGCAATGAGAAGTACTTTGTTCATCTGCTTCCTTACAATGTGTACAAAAACTCATTTTGAAGAACTACCCCCCCCCCTCCCAAAGAACACCACACAATATGTAGATAAGTGTATGGTTGTTGATTTAGAAAAGGACTTCTGACCAGTATTTAAGCTTTCTAAAGCTCGTGCATTGAGATATTAAGGATTGCAATTTGTGAATAAATCATTTATGCAGTTTCTGCAAAAAATCATTTTCATATATGAATACTTTACTTTTGAACATATTGTGGTGAGGATAATTTTTCAAAGTTTGTTGCTGTTGATGTTGATGATAATGATGACAATAATGATGATGATGTTTTCCCTCACAAAAATAAGATAGGCAGCATTTAAATCCAGCTGAGCCCATTAAGACCTTTGCCGAAAAACCAAAGTAGAAAAAGTAAATAAAGGATTTCCCTCTTCAATCATTTCTCCAATAAGTATTAGTTATTCCTCCACACACATTTCCTTCCATGAGTGCATACAGGTTGAAGAAAACTGTACGGTTCTTTCCATTTCTGGGCTTAATTTGTATCTCCCTGTGACATTCACTTTTGTCATGGGTGGTACTTTGTTTCATCCATGCTTCTATCCATGCTTTTAAAATTCTTCTCATGAATATTTGAATAATGTGTTACTATCATCAGATCAAACAAATTATTCTCATGCATTGCTCCCCAAAATGATTACTAGACATGCAAAGCTTCCAGACCTCTGTAAGGTTGATGATGGTCTTCACTGAACTTACCTGTGCTATCAGAAAGATTTACAATTTCAAGACACACAGGATGCTGATCTATCTGGAAAATACTTGACAATAGAAATATGTAATCTAATCTCTTTTTCAGATGGCATCTGTAAAACATCTGATTGCATAAAATCAGGTAAGATGTTATACTATTTTTATTTACTGTTATTTATTATAGATTTTGTATGTGTAATGTATCTCAAAGATCCATACAAGGGGACTTTGAGTTTGTGTTCTCGTATAGTCAATTATTTATTTTATTTATTTATTTCTGCTTCTTATACCCCACCCTTCTCACCCCCGAGGGGGGGACTCAGGGCGGCTTACAAAAAGAAGGCACAATTAAAACAATTAAAATAATTAAACAATTAACAGATTAAAAACATCAATATATAACACAGTAGCAAAATAGTAACCAGTATCATGGTCAGTGTTTCGAGTTCCATTACGTTTCGTCATTATTTGCCCATCATTATGGTCTTTCTTTTTAGCTGCCAGAGTTTCCAAAAGCCTGGTCCCACATCCAAGTTTTCAGCTTGGTAAATTAAATGCAGAAAGGAGACTGCAGACAATGAAATTTGAGCTTCTGGTGGGTTGCCTTCTTATAACTCAGATATTTCTCACAAGTCAGTGTTTCTAATTTAAAAAAATGAATGGTAGAATCTCAACTTGGCAGAATACACATGTTTGGTTGGCATATAGTGCTAATATTACATTCCTGCAGAAACAAAAGCCTTGTCATGAAATATTAATATGTTCCCCACAAACAATCTGTCACAATTCATGAAATATAGCTGCAAAACATCTAATGCAACAGGAAGTGGTATTGGTGATTCATAACTTTTCAGTTACAGGCATTGAAAAATCTGCATCTCTGTTGCCACAATATACCCTGACTAGACAGAATGACATGTTATGTAATAGATAAGACTTTGAATCTCCATGCTCATTGTTCTCCCATCCTGAATTGACAGTGGCAGTGAGTCAGCCATTACTTAGAGGAAGATTTGAACCAAGGAAAGTATCTTAAGGATTAATTGGCCTACAGTCCCAGGTGTGGTCCACCTCTTAACACAATGCCATGCTTAGGAGATCCCTTCTCAAAAACCATTGGTCTCTTTGCCCTTCCTTGATCAGAGGAACACTTGATGAAGATGCAAGAGAAGGTATTATTCATGGCCACACCCAGACTTTCCCTGAAGAGCTCTCTCTTTCTCTCTCTCTCAACAAACAAAGACATTTTTAAATTATGACAGTTGATTTTTTAAACTCAGTGTGCCAAGGACTAGGCACCATATTTGTATCCAATAAGTATGTTTTTCCCCTTCTTTTCTGGAAACTTATGAGGGGTCACTAGAACTAAGCAGAACTTCTGGAAATCATTTTTATGGACTTCAGTCCTCCAGGATATTTAAGTTGGTAACATTAAGTACATGGCCTGGTCCTAAAATAGAAAGACTGAGGGCACTTCTGGACAGCCTTTTATCCCAGGAGCATCTGTGTTTCTTTTCTTTTCTTTTTACTGAGTTTAAGGGGGCTTCTGGGGAGCGGGTTGGGATGTCCACAGTTTTCTGGGCTAATTTATTCTGCAGTTCAGAACCAGATATAGTGATTTTATCCTGCACCTTCCTAGAAGGTGCAAAATAAATCCACTATCTAATTAATTCACTACAAACTGGGGCTTTCGTGGTTTGTGGTGAATTAATTCAGGATTGTCCAGGACATCATCTGCAAAGCCCCGTCTTTATTGCGGGTGCCCTGCGGGGACATGAGAGAAACCTCCCACAAGGATGGTAAAACATCAAAACATCCCAGCATCCCCTGGGCAACGTTCTTACAGAGAGCCAATTCCACATTAAGAGTGTGGGGTCCTTCACCATGAACTTCATTTGTTTGTCAACAGGGACATGTTCCCTCTTCAACCCCTTTCAAGATGAAGAAAATACAAGTAGATTTGTTTTGTCTCAATTTCATCTAAAATCTTCTATTGTGTCATGTCCATTACATTGGTCCCTAATGGATTGGGACTGAGTAGAACATGGAAAGGAAATGGAGGCAAAGCAACAGTGATGGTTACAAACAGATGTGAAAGAATTCAGACAAGCAAAAAGATAGATGGTTTTCTGAGAATTCCCCACCTTGTTAAAAAGGAAAGCTTTCTCCCAGAAAATGATGTTATTTTGTTTGCTGTTTTTGGAAGACGTGTTATCTGATTTTACCCAAAACATATCACTCAAGGCAGGCTACAAAAATTAAATCACATGCTCCAAAAATACTGTGATAAAACCAGCGTTAAAACTATGGTAAAATTAGACCAGTTTTAAATCTGACTAATCATTTGTCCTACCACCAGTTCAGATGTTCAGAAGTTTCCCCCCAACACTCTTAAAAACTGCATAAACATCTTAAATTTTTTATGGAATATGAAAGGCTTTCTTTCATCTGTACAATGAAATCTTTATCTCCTGTGGTTTCTTTCTTTCATTTGTTGACAAAGAGGAGAAAAAGCACACCAGGACAGTGCACAAAACCTTTTGAGATAGCTAAAAGTGAATTATACAAAGTTGTCAAAATTCATGGCATGGTATCAAGTGCATGCAGCAGGAGGATTGGCAGAAGAGATTTTCTGCATCTTGATGTGTACAAGGCTACCTTTCTCTCTGCTTTCGTATTGAACACAAGTTTTCTATCCATAATTGGCCTGCTGGAGCAAAAAGAGGTGATGGTGAAAGTGAACTCTAATACATCCGAACATAGACTGCACCAAGGATAAATCTTGGGGGTCATAGGTTAAATGCTTAGTTGATTTCAATGAATCATTGAGAAGTCACTACCATAGCACTTTAAAAAGAATATATTTATTATATTCTTACCAAGACTGTTAATTTATCTGAATCAGTGTAAATGATCATGTCTGCAACTATTTTAAATGTGTAATGCTATAACACTTCTGTTCAGAAGTAAGTATCATTCAATTTAATAGAATTCCAACAGATATGAGTGTACAGCAAAGATGGGGATCCTCCAGTACATTTCACACTAAGTAGATATAGTGCTATGGTTATACTTTAACTGCTATATGAAATCTTTGGATTTGAAGTTTAAGGAGAGGAATTTAGAATTGTTGAAGGCTTTCATGGCCGGAATCACTGGGTTGTTGTAGGTTTTTCAGGGTGTATGGCCATGTTCTAGAAGCATTCTCTCCTGATGTTTCACCTGCACCTAGAATTTCAAATTCACTGCCAAAGAGAGCCAACCTCTCAGATACTAAAAGGTGCAACCATGGCCAGATAGAGTAGAAATGTAGTACTATCATTGCCCATCGCATCAAGATATGGAACTTGGTTGTTTTCCATCTGAGACACAAACTATCAGATCAGCAATCAGAAATAAGGGCACTGGGAATAGTACTTAATTCTTTGAATACCTCCCACTGAACTATGTTGTAATTTGGAGTAAAGAAAACTACAATCTGGAATTCATCAGCACATGTGGTAGGAGAATGTTCACATTAGTAAGAATTACATCAGACCCCATTGTGATGATTCTATTATGGAATCTTACCTTTGAGTGATCTTGCTCTTTGACAAGGGTTTGCTGCTCCTAAAACAAAGTGCTAGATTTGCCCTCTTCAAGTTATGGTTAAAGATCTTCTTTGTTATTATAGTTTAGCCTCTAACTGGAAAACTGAAACAATGATCAGATGGAAGTATTTATTTATTTATTTATTTATTTATAACATTTATACGCCGTCCTGCTCAACCTCCGAGGAGGGATGCCGGACAGCTTCCAACAGGCAACAATTCAGTGCAGACACAAAATAAAACACATAATAAAATACAGCCAAATAATTATAAAAAATATAATTATAAATATAATTATAAATATACATTAAAACGGTTTGTCAGGTTTAACACGTCATCCAAATCAGTTCAAATTGCGGTCAAATAAAATCTTATCTTCATCAGTAAAATCAGTCTGTTCTGCAAACGCTTGATCCCATAACCAGGATTTAAATTTCTTCCGGAAGATCAGGAGGGAGGGGACAAATCTAACTTCATTAGGGAGGAAGTTCCACAGCCGAGGGGCCACCACAGAGAAAGCCCTGTCTCTTGTCCCCACCAAACGCAACTGCGATGGAGGTCGGACCAAGAACAGGGCCTCTTCAGATGATCTTAAGGTCCTTGATGGTTCGTAGAGGGAGATATGTTCGGTCAGGTAACTATATGTTTATTTATATTATTTTAATAACTATAAAGCAAGTAGTCTTGATGTGTTACATAATTTGTCCTTGCATAATTAAATTCTTCAGCACTCTGACCTCCCTCAGCTCTCTAGCCCTATTCAGACATTTGATTTAAGATGAATAGGGCTACATGAAATATATGTAAGCCCCTCATCCCCAACATCCTTGAATACCTAGAAGTAAATTAGACATTTTTGCTTTGATTACGAACCCTCCAAAGGGGTTTTGTAACTGTTGAATACAAAGCACCTTTGAGAACTCACATAAGGTAATACTTCTGATCATGAGAGATTTATAACAGCATTCAAATGAACATGGTAATAAAGTTATCTTGTGAACTTCCTGCTCAGTGTGAAAAGGCCTGTATCTTATTTTTGGGAGCTCATGGATATAGGATGTGATGCTGATCCATGTATAAATAGGTTTTTTGTCTTCATCCAGATCTTAATCCTACAAACTCTCATGCTCAGTCATCCTTCACAACTTCAACCCTCTCCCTCTCTCAGCCAGTCATCAAACGTATGCAGATTTATCCAGCAGCCTACTTTTGTCACTCTGTCTTCATATAGTCTCCAAAACTTTACTAATCATCTAACATAAAAAGAGTGTAATTATGGAAACTCAAATTGGTTGTATAGATTATGTAATGACGCGATCGTACTCTGTCTTTGGTTCTGTCTGATGTCCTTATCTCATGCCCCTGCAACCATTCTCAAATTGGAATTTGGCCCTTGCAATGAAAAGGTTTATATATTCCTGCTGTAAAGGGGGAAGGCACATATAATTTGTAGTTTTTTAAATAACTCCTGCAAAAATCTAAATAATTTTTTAAAAAAATGTTTAACTGAGGTTGGATCTACACTGCCGTATAATCCAATTTCTGAAACCAG